ACATTATCATATGCCTTTTCACATTAGCTTCAATTGTATCCACCATCTCACCTTGTTCATATACTAAAGAAGCTAAATCTCTAAAAATGTGATTAACGTCTAAAATGTCTGCCTGAAAAAAATATAAAAACAGTGCAGGTTACTGACGGGTCAGAAAAAGCTTGTATAGCAAATAAACGGAGATGTATGACATATTTTACAAATTGCATTTTGAGATAATTCTGAAAGATATATTGCAGGTCATGTAAGTATGATGTGAAATATTAGATGACTCCTGATGTACTGTCTTCAGGCATACTTTAAGGTATCCTTGTAATAACCTTATTATTATACATTATTAGTCCCCGTTCGGACGTAGTCCAAAAACGGGGACTTATGTTTTGCCCTGTGTGTGTCCGTGCATCCGTGCGTCCGTGATCACCTGTATCTCGAACATGCATGGACCGATTAAGTTCACACTTCACTCACACATCACACATTATATGGGACATATGCACATACATTTTTTTCATGATCCAATTAACGATAGCCGAATAGCGGCCATTTTAAGGCCGAAAATGCATCAGAATCGCACATTTTCAACATTCCGGACCCGCATCTCAGTTATGCATGGACGGATTTTGTTTAAATTTGGTACATACATTAAACATAATAGGACCTTGATGCACGTCATTTTTTTTTTGGATTGGGTTTGAAATGGCCGACTGGCGGCCATTTTGTTTTAAAGAATTCAGTTCTGGATCCGTATCAGAAACATGCCTGGATTGATCGAGTTCAAACTTCACACACACAAGGTACATCATGTCACATATATGTATGTGCATTTGTTCCATGATCTCATTAACGATAGCCAAATGGCGGCCGCTTTAAGCCTGAAAATGCATTGAAATCGAACATTTTCACCATTCCGAACCCGGATCTCAGTTATACATAGACGGATTTTGTTCAAATTTAGTACATAAATTAAACATAATAAGACCTTGATGCACGTCATTTTTTTTTCAGATCTAGTTCGAAATGGCCGACTGGCGGCCATTTTGTTTTAAAGAATTCAGTTTTGGGTCCGTATCCGAGACATGTCTGGATTGATCAAGTTCAAACTTCACACACACACACATGGTACATCATGTCACAAATAGGTATGTGCATTTGTTTCATGATCCGCTTAACAATAGCTGAATGATGGCCATTTTAAGGCCGAAAATGCATCAAAATCA